CCTTTCTTTTTAAATTTAAACATGTAAATCTAGTTCCAGCAGAACATCTAACAGCCCTATTGGAACTCTGTGCACCTACATGCATTATATACTCTAATTTACTCACTGTATTTCAACAACATGACCTATGTTACACATCATTTATAACAGAAATATTTTTTTTTATCCTTGTCATTTCTTTCCTTTTTTTTTAAGGTTTCTTATACCTTCACAGTCCTATTTTAATTTACAAAGAAAAATATAGCTAACAATAAGTTTTATAAAGCAACCAACTTCATTTTGAAAAGAATTTTAATTACATATTTATAACTACTACAAAACATTGTGGAACCATGTATTACCTCATTATATATATATATATATATATATATATATATATATATAATAAATCACTGACCAAATTTAATAAACTGCTTCAGACTTGTGTGCATTATGTATGTAAATGCACATTAATTTTTGAATGTATAAATGCATAAATATTGAATACATAATAGATAAGCCTGAAAGATTTTGTCATCCTTTTACAGTATGCAGAAGTGCAGAAATATGGCAATTTTTTAATAGAAACCTAAATTTCTCAAACAAATATTGATCTTCTCAGGATAAGCCTTTGAATGCAGAGCTGTAGGAATAATCACACTTTGCATAAAATTAATGGAATTAATAAATACACCTTACTTTGCAAACTCCCACTTTATGGATTACTTTAAGGTGTACATCAGTTTATAAAGGAAAGGTATTTTGAAATTAAGAAAAGCTATTTTATATAATTTGTTTTGATACTACGAATTTTTTACATTTTGTAAACATATATATATTGTACTATTCTCTTCCACAATATTTAATTTCACCAAGTTTTGTGTGACATCTACTGTTAAAGGCAATATCTTTTCTTTAGAAACCTTTATTTTTACACTATTCTTATTCCCTTTTTTTATTTTCATAAATAAGGTTTCAAAAATTGAACATTAGTTTTAAATCATTCAAAACACATATCTGTATATTAAATAAAGAATCAGTGATACATCTACATCCATAAAACCGAAATTTTCTGTTAAAATAATTCTCTATTTGTGAAAAAATCCTAGTTGTTTTAAAACAAATATCACATCTACAAGCTACCTTCCAAAGTGAAAGAAACATTTCACAGATTATTTGTTTTGGGGATATCTGATTAGTTGACTCATGTGAAAATCAGCTCGTTGGAAAAAATGCACAAGGGTCAAAGCTTTAAGTGAAATATTTTCAATTCATTTTCAAAAAGTCCCGCACAGCTGGGCAGAACACCACTTTCAACTAAATGTTTCAGCTAGAAAACCTCCAATAGTAGTTTTTTGGAAAAGTTTTTTCTAGTCCCTTATGTTGCTAGATGTGATGATCTCACAAGAACAGAAACATGCTTTTAAAACTGTCACTGGTTGCATGCATTATCAATTCAATGAGTCAGGAAATTAAATTTGCTTAATATAGTTGCCCACCAGAGGCCGAGCGATAAAGTCCCTGAACACTGGTAGTTCGGTCCGGTCCAAGGTTCAAATCCAGCAAACAGGATAGCTGCATGGGCGTTTTCATGGTTTTTCCCAGTGTAATGTGTTAATATGAGCCAATATCCCTTAGAAAGTCCTCCATGAAGGCATCCCCCTTCAGTGTAGGGAAAAACATGTAAATAATAACACTTCATATAGCTTTCATATCATATGGATGTTTCCAAGATGATGAAAAGCCATTATCTAATAATTCAAAATCAGGCCATTTTAAGACTGTGACCACTTACGAGCTAACTGAAAAAGGATATGAAATTATTACTATTGGTCTGATAGTCTCATTCCGAACATTTTTTAAAGGATTTGGTTTATTAATGGATTCCATTCATGTCAGCCAGATAAAAAATATAATAAAATAAGTGCTGATTGACTTATGTGATTATTATAATACAGTCAAAAGTCATTAATTCGGACAACCATAATCCGGACCTCAAAGCTAAAAACTTTCTGCGCATGAGCGCAAGACCTTTATGGCTGCGAATATGCGTGTGCGCATGCACATAATACGTCTACACATGCACGTTTAATGTATAACGGACGGTATATGATAAGCTAAAATTATCTAATTCAGTTAATGTTGCAGATTGCGTTGTTCCTTAATCTTCGAATTGGATCCGGCTTATTATTTTTTGCAGCCTGTTAGAGCAATTTTATAAAAGCAAGCTTGAACTTTCAATTAAGTCAAATAGAAATTTCCGATATATATTTATTAATATGTAAAGGATCTACAAAGCGAAAGTATGTTTCGAAGTCCATTAAACAAAAAATAGAATTGCTGCAAAAAATGGATAAAGGCATATCCTTCGTTTCTCTAACCATTCCGAAACCTGTTTATCAATTTCACGCTGCTCGTGGGGGGGGGAGGGGAATGCAGCGGCGCGCAATGAATTGGAAGTTGATCTGTCAGTTGACTATTCTTATCTTCAGAGCAGATGTTTTTATTTTATTTGGCTAATAATTCCTTACTAAATGCAGTATTTCATCTCGATGTACTCCGTCTTTGATATGATATAAATCAAATTCCTCGTCATTATAATTCGCTTCCGATAGTGAAGAAAGTGACACAGAGGTTATCGAAAACAAAAAAATTTCTATTGACAAATTAGTCGGTATTCTCGACACAGCAATTATAGGACTTGAACAGCGGAACTTTGTAACTGAACAAGAAATTATGTCTGTTTATAGAATTAAAGAGAAAGTATTATCACATAAAACTAAGCAACTTACATTGAAAGAAATGTTTAATAAAGTAAACAAATAAATATTAAGCTTTTTCTTTTTTGTAAATTTAGATACCCTTTAGATCATAATTGTTCTTTATTTCATAAATTACGGTTTGATATTTTTAATTTTATAATTTCTGCATGCCATCTTACAAGATTTAAACTGATGATCTATAATCCGGAAAAATCGATAATCCGGAATCGCCGAAGTCCCGATGTGTCCAGATTAATGACTTTTGACTGATATAATAAATAAGTGCTGAATTTGTTCCCATAAGAAAACTAAGAAGCCATAGGTTGAATACTGCGATGCGACATCAGCAAATATCAGATTTCATATCCAAGTATGATTTAGGAACTAAGCATTAGAGCACATTTCGAAATCTTCAAAATTACACTTTACCAAAAAACTGCTTCCAGAAGCAATGAGTTAACATGGCTAACTTGCTTTGATAACTCTAAAATCATAAATCGTCATATATTCATTCCAAAAGGTGAAATTGTCTGCCAGCTAGTTTTGCTAGCTAGCTAGCCAGTTTACAGATTTATGGAGCATAACTTTGCTTTATTGTTTCATATTAATTTTTTGCAGAAGAAAAACAAACTACTTGGGAACTTAAAATAGGTTATGAAAAAAGAAAGCCTGTAATCTCAGTTTTTAGATTTTCAGGAATATCCCACATCATAAGTAAGAGAAAAATACAGTTACAGGTCTCCTGTGTTTTCCTGTATTTTCAGTTTAATCTGGAGGAAAGTTCCATTATCCGTAAACTAATTAAAAAACAAGCATGCATTACAACTGTAACCAATCTAAGAATAAATCTCGTAAGAAATGGAAGAACTGAATTATGCATGACATTAGGAACAATATTTACAAGAAAATTTGAAATATGCCATCGAGTTCAAACACATGTAAAAAAAAGGGGGGGGGTTTCAACTATCATTATTATTTCTTTAAGAATTTCTTTCTCTGCTTTTATTTTTATTATTTTTTTAACATGAATAATCCTAACTTACAGATGATTTAACAATGTATGTATATTCCCCATCATATTACTGCTGTTGATAAAAACAACTCCCAAATATTATGACACCATCATTGCTCTTATCTTGGATACTTTTCTTTCCTTTTCTGCACTTTCTGTAGACAGTTTGTTTATGTTGATGGCTTATAACAGGGCATCTTAAACTTTTTTCGGTCGCAACCCCAGGACCCCATACCCCATAATATTTGCGAAAATTTTGTGGGACCCCATAAGCATTGTGCAAATCCGACACACGCGTGAGTGAAATTGTCAATTTTTTCACTTGTACTGCAATAGTGTATTGCATTTTATTATATATTAGTATATTGCAAGTATATTGCAGTTTTAGGTCATTAACTTTAATTTATAATTTTTAAGACATAGAACAATGTGAAAATGTTAAATAAGTAACAGATGAAATGACAGTGTCATGTGCAAAGCAAGTAAATGAACGTTTATATTTATAAAAAGAATGCATTGAAACGTTTTCATTTGTTTTGTCTTATCTTTATCTATTTTCAGATACACTGTGTAAAAATATTTGGTAATTGTAAAAATTATTACAATAAGTTAAGGAAATATCAAAACTGCTAAAATTTTTGGCAACCCCCTGTTGTTGGTCCTGTGGAGGTTGCAACTCACAGTTTAAGAAACTCTGGTTCATAATAAGAATTTTTCCATTGTTCTGCAAAAAATAAACTTCTTTTAGAAAGGATGCAGCTATTCAAGAGCTGATTATAATTAAAATGTTAAAATTGACTTTTTAATAATAATAAATTGATTTTTTAAAATAATAATGTAAATAATGAGAAATAATTTTCTCATAATGTAAGCTATAAAATGGGGGAAGAAACTAAAAAAAAAGTATGGGGTCACAATATTTCCTATTCATAAATATTATGGCATGAGAATTGGCAAGACTGCGATATGTAGGTATTATGACATTGAACTTGCAATATTATATACTAATTGATAACTGCTAACCTAAAAAGCCCTTTCTTAACAGATGGTACAGTGCATGGTTCACTACATTTTCTGCTTTGAAAGAATGTGATTTCCTTTAAGTTTGTAGTCAAAACAATAATAACTGTCAAAAGCCTAAATAAAAAACTGTGTGCAGAGTCCCCCTATCCATTATGGAAAATTTCTTTGAAATAATTTAAGTGAAAATAACATAGAAATATAAAAAAGTCTATATTAAACGATACCTTTTGGAGTAATACAACATGATCTTCTAAACTAGATATATGATCTTTTGCAGCAACAAGCATATCTCCTAATGGTTCTCGAGGATGAACTCCATTTTCAAAACGATTGTACATACCTCTCCAAAACCTAGTAAAATAGTTAAAACTAATACTGAGATTCTGAGAAATACATATTACAAATTGATTTATTTAAAATATAAAAACTGATGAAGCACTACAATATCATTTAATATTTAAAAATAAATTATTTCCATTATAAACATACTTCATAGTCTGTGGAGCAGGACTAGGATGTAGAACATCATCTAAATCTCTTCTGTACAATGGATTTAGGAATTCCGATAGATGGTTCATCAAGTAACCCCACAAAGAATAAGTACGCTCACTAAGCCTATAAAATGGAAATGCAGCCTGAAATATATGTAAATTAATGTTTAAGTTAACCTTTTTCAGGGGGCTGGAAGATGTATGTCCTGCACTTTCACTATTTTATATGTGTCTCATAGTTCAATAAACTATTGAGATATAAAATTTACTCCTTAATATGGATTAGAAAGTGTAAGATTCTGTCTTTTTTTTGCCCTTTTCTTTTAAAACAGGTGGCTAAATGGCCCTAATATTTTCAAAATTGCTCCCTACAGCCCATGGAAAAAAGTTAAGGTAACACGAAGTGAGATGAAGTCCAAATACTAAAAATACATGGTTTAAAATAAAAAGTGCATCTTTTAGTTGCTTTTTAATTTCAGTAAAGAAATTAAAAAAAAAAAAATTACAAATATTAGCTCTGTCTTGAAGTACATGACAGTGAACTACTTGATATAATATTACCAAGAGTAAAAACTAAAAGCTTAATATGCATGATTTATTACTGTTTTGTAGCAATAAATATGCTGAAATGATAAGAAAAATATACAAGTACTCCATATGATCCAAAATCTGTTTTGCTCAGTTTTATAAATGCTAAGAGTTTTAAAAAAGTTGAAAGAAATGCCATGAACAAAATTTAAGCCTTCACCTGTCTTGTACACCAAGCAAGATTTATACATTTGATACATTACTGCATGATGGATAATATAACAGTTGCTAAAAGTTGAATCATCAGTATATGTTTTTCACTTCTGTCAGATTTTAATGAGACCTCTTTTTAAAGGAAATCCAAATAAATTAGACATTACAGTTTACATAACAATAAAACTGCTTTGCAACAACCATCATCACAAGTTTATAATGCATATTGACTTACCAGTACGAGATTCACTATTAAATGTATAAAAACGAACTGCTTAGTGCAGTTTTATAGCTAAACTGCAAGAGCAACAGTATCTAAAATACACACATTTAGTATATACAAAAATTTCATTTGGCATATTTCATACATCATAAATGCCTTTTCATCTCACAAAAATTTAAGAATAAGCTTCAAAAATTAAATATTTTAGTAAGTCTATAAATCATATTGGAACATCACAAGTTAAATTCTTGCTGAAAGTAACTAGCTATGTCACAAGTATTTAATTTTTCATTCAATAAATCCATAAATTACATTGGAACGTCATAAGATTAATTCTTACTGAAAGTAGATAGTTATGTCACAAATACTTGATATTCAATAGTTGAAATTCATGTCGAAGGAATTTCAACTAAGCAAATTAGACTGACATGTAAGATGAGATATAGTTAAGTACAGTCAAACACCACTATAATGAGCTTTAAGGGACCAGAAGTTTTGTTAGTTTTATCCAATCTGATTAAAAAAAAATGGATCACCTCACAGAAACATGTAAAACTTGAATAATAAAGAAATAAACTGATTAACATTGTTACATCTTTAAAAAGACATGAATAATAAAACTAATTTAAAAAATACTATTAAAATTTAACTAGAATTATTATTACGCACAATTATTAAATTTGCTGTCCATTCTTTTTCAGTCTTTCCAAAGTGTCTAGCATATTCATTTGTCTTTACATGAAATATTTGCCAAGATATTGATTGATATTCTTTGCTTCATTGAATGGTGAACCATTTCAGAAATGCTTCTTCAATATGCCTATGCTCATCTTTTCAACTTTTTCTCATATCCAAAATTTTTTATGAGCAAAAATTCTAGTTTTCATTTTTTCATATCATACCAGCTGTAGATTCGAATAAATTGTATTTCTAGCAGATATCCATTTGACAGCATAAATTTTGTAATTTTTTAAGAATGTTCACATTATCTCTAATGGAGAATCTTTGTTTACAGCTTGCCATGAGAATGAATTTTTGATATAGAATGCAGAGTGTTTGGCTAAAGAATAAGAGAGAATTTTGCTCTTCTGGAAAATACAAAAAAGGAATATAATTTCTTCATTTATGTGTCTCCCTAAATGTCCATTGAGAACACATTCATTTCCCCCAAGACACGTACGGTTGCAATACAAAGATTTTACAAAACTTCATGCAAAATATTGTGTCTTGCAAAAGACACATTTTTTGCACTAACCATTATATACAGCATAAGGTATCCTAAAATATGCTTATTTTATGCTTACTTTCCTAGAGTTAAGTGTCACACCTGTTTCACATAGCTTTTGTTTAGAATACAGAGCAAAATGAGGGTGATGAGAAAAGGATTATGACATACATATTTTTTTTTTATGAATGGAATGAGGAATGTGGATCCTAATATCCTAAAATTGGATACTATCCTAAATGATTTAACAGTTAGTAATCTTTTCACTAAAACTAGAAATTTTGGTAAAAACACGAGAAAAAAACAAAAAACAAGAAGGCTTTTAATTGCAGATATGCATGCAGTTTGTTATACCCCCTATTTCATACTCCCGGAGATTTGCGATAACAGTATAAAACAACATTAAGTTCATACGAAACTGAACAGAAGGAAACATTTTATAAGCTGAGTTTATTATAGAATGGCTAAACTGTATATAAATCTTGTAAAATACAACACTACAATAGTTTTATTTAGTTTATAAATTTGATAGTTTCACCTATTTAGCATTATTATTTCATTATAAGGAACCTTATAACGAAAAAAAATTTCTACATATAATAAATAATAGATAAAGAATATAAATTTCAATTTCAAGCACTTTTAATAATGAAAAACTTAGGTAACCAAAAGATTATCAGACAATTAAGCATTATTTTCAAAGGCCATTGTGATATCATTAATAGAAAAATCAGATTATTGGCTGGTATCTTTTGAACAGTTTCTAAGTAAACCATGATAATAAATTGTCACTATCCCTTCTATCACAAAGTAAGCAATCAATAACTTGTGTTTGAACAGATATGCAGCCGATACTTCACTCGATCTCCAAAGATGTTAACTGAAGCTGAAGTCAGAACTTTGGTCCACCATTACAAGCTCTTCTGTGTAAAACACAAATCTAGATTACATCAATTTTGTGAATATGTGCATCAAAATGCTGAAACCAGGAAAGATTATTCCAAATTATTGCCAGATTGTGAAAATACATTTCTAACGTATGTAGGGGGTTGTAATGTCAGAAAAAGCCCAGTGTTATAACTACAACCTTTAAACACAACTCTTGCAAAACAATTCGAGCAAATGCCTAGATATGTTTACTGGAATGCTATATCATATAGTATACTCATTGTACTTTCCTCTTCTAATCACAATGTAATTTGCACCATTCTGAGCATCACAAACTGACAAAAATTACTACTGACTTTCAAGTAACAGTGAGACCATGAAAACTAATCGTACCTCTCATGTATGTGATCCTATCATTTTACATTCTTTTCTGAATAGAAACAGTTATTTTCAGAAGCTGCTAAGGCTATTAGGAAATTTTGTTTGGCTACATGCCTTTGAATTTATCAATACTAATCAGCATTTCTAACTTATTACATTACACGACGGCTGAACTCGGTGCTTTCATAACATTTTCATTTTCATGATTATATCATTTCCTGTAGATAATGGCAGAAACTTCTTTCATTAAACAATAGAATTTAACAGATAAAACAATCATGCCCTGCTTGAAAGCATTTGATTTGTTTCATTCACTTATTTATAGTATAATATTTATACAACAATAATGAATGCGCACATCAAATGCTATAAGTATTTACAAATCATGCTAGATCAACTTGGAGATAAGAAGTGTCCACTAACTTGTGGCTAGGTAGCACATTTATAATAAGAATACTGTACAAAAAACTCCTTACCTTAGATCTACTCTATCTTTCTCACAATTGCCAATAAAAGTTCCAAACTGACAAGAATAAACATGATCATGGATAGTGAGCAAAAACCTTTCATTGAACTGGAATGAAGATGGAAACTGCTGTGTCAGCTGCCAAACAGCGTCTATAAACTGCGTAAAAACTGGAGCAACTTCCTTTGGATCTCCTTGGACGAGACCACATCGTTCAGTAAATTTGTGACCAAATCCCAGCCATTCTTTTTCAATAAGTGCCTGCAAAATAGTAAAAATAATTTGCACGCAAGAAACATACAAGACAATTTTCATACCCATTTCAAGATGGATAGTTCATTTTTATTAAAACTACTTAAATGCAAATACAGTGAAATCTCTGTAAGATGATCCCCCATAGTTTCAGATGATTTTAACCTTTTGAGGAGGAACTACCTTTGAGAATAATTATTATTATCAGGATTATTATCCATTTGCATAATAGTTTTAGCCTAATTTAAAGTTCTTATTATGAATTAGGAAAAAATTTCTGAAGAAGATCCACAATAAAATGCATTTACTTATAAATACTAAGATGTTAATAAAATGAGAAATTAGTTGCAAAGGTAAATAACAGAAATGGGCAAACTTTTTCAGTCACTGGCTAAAAATCAAAAACAAAATGTTTGGCGAGCCAAGATAAGTTTTTCTAAAATTTTAAAAACAATATACAAGTATTACAATTTAATTATGTTAATAAGATGCATGAAATTGTGATTTCATTTTTGAAAGTTCCGTACATTGAGTTTCAAAGTGAGATGTACTGATTCTAAGGAATGAGGCTAAATGCTCATCTGTCAGCCTACTTCTGAATAATTCTTTCTAAGTTTCATAGTTGAAGACACTTGTTCACATATATAAGATGAAGCAAACATAGCACTGATTTTCAGGGCATGAGATATTAAATTTGGGAAGCTTACTTTCGATAATGATTTATAAAACTCTAACTTTGGTACATTTAGAAAAAACTGTTTGAGATAATAGTTAGATTGCAACTCAATTCAAGCTGCAAATCTGACCTCACCGCTTTACAGTTTATGTTGAAGGACATGGTAAAAATATATAATTCTGTTTGAATGGCACTGAAATCTTGAAATCTTCATTCGAACTCAAAATGTAGTTTTTTCAAACACTTGAAATCTTTGTTCGAACTCAAAATGCAGTTTTTTCAAACAATCTTCATAATTAAGCCTCTCTTCATTTACTGAGGGTATTGAATTTAACCGCGGAAAATGAGACAAGTCATTCTTAGCTAGCTGCCCAGCAAACAGATTATGTTTTAAGTTAAGATTAAGTTTTTTCTAGGAGGTCTAATTCACCTATGTTGGATTCCCATATGTCTGTTCCCTGAGAAAGATATAACGCTTGCTAGCGCCAATCTACAGCTATAACTAACAAAGAACTTCCACTTTTAACACTTTTACCAATTGAAAGCTTTCTGTACTTGCTTTTCCGTCAATTTATGTTTTTGTAAAACAAAAATAGAGAAAGTAAAAAGATCATCAGCCCTTTGAAAAAAAGGAAGAAAAAAGTAATATTTAAACAAAGTAGAAAAGGAGATGGTATATAATATATAAATACATATTTCTTTTAATTTGCCTCAAAATTAAACTGGCAAATTAAAATTCTATCCGCGGGCCGGATAGAACCTTCCGGCGGGCTATAGATTGCCCATCCCTGGTGTATAATGTAGCAATAAATCAAATTAGGAGAAAATTGTCCCCATAATTAATGTTCAGAAATAGAGTATGCAGAAAATATTTTAAAATATGTCAGAAAGATCTTATACATACCCCCCTCCCGAAAGAATTGCGACTAACTGACTATTATAAATTTTATTTAAAAAATTTAAAAGCACTTAACCTTTATTAAAATATTCATGACATGAAGTTCTGCCTATTTGATTTTACTTTAATGAGACAATTGCCTTCACTTATGTACACAATTTTTAGCTTTGTTTACAGAAACACGTAGTATTTTTTTCACTTAGAAATACAGATATCAGCATATTTTTCAAGAATGTCTTCTTATCATCTCACATTTAAAGCTCTTAATAGTCTTTGCAGTTCATGCCAGTATCTACCTGTTATCTCTGTAAATTCAAATTTTACCTAGATAACAAATTCTTCATTTATGCTTATACCTTCAGGAAATTTGGAACTAACGCTACTTTTCTTTAAACACGTTTTTAATGTATTCTCATCTACATTGTTTCATATTTTTAAAAGAATCCACCAAAGAAATTACAGTTCATTTATATTTTCTTTTGAATAAGTAAGTGTTATCACAGCAGACAATAGCCAGTACTGAATGATAATTCTGAAATGCAAAGATTAATAATTGTTACAGTAAGTCAAAAAAAAAAAAATCCCACAAGTTACTTAGTGATAAATTTGGGTGGTATGGAAATTAACTATACTTTGTGGTTTTATATCCTTTTCAAATTAATTTTTCAGTCCAGTTAGTTTGATATTTACTTTTAACATATAAATTTAAAAGAAAAATATTCTCGCAACAGAATTTTTCTAACCATGCAGTGAACTTCTCAACTTGAAGTTGTTATAAATAACTAGTAGCTTTTCTTGAAGAATTTTATTACTGACAGGCAACTTTTTTGCACAAACACCCTTAAATAAAACCAAAGTTAAATAGTTAATTTCTTTATATGGCTGAAAAGTTTCATTTTCTATCATTAAAAAATATTTTTGAACAATTTCTATGTTGTTTCCTCTCCTTTTAATATTTGGTCTGCATTTAATTGCACTTAATAGTTTCCCACAATGCCCTTTGCAGTAGATCAGCAACATCTTCAGTTACTTTTAATAATTTACCAAAATTTAATGCTTTTTGACTTCCTTGTACGAAGTAAAAAGGAAGTATTGTAATCGCGAAAAGTTTCAGGCAGCATATTTCAACGAAAATATCCATTTTGACCGCTATCGAATGCAATTAACGATGTTTTTTTGCGTGATATCTGTACGTAAGGAACAGAATAAAATACTCATTTCCTCCCCAAAAAAATTATAAAACTTCTTTAAAATTAATTCTGAAGAGAATTTTTCGTGGCGTCTGTACGTACGTACGTACGTATGTATCTCGCATAACTTCAAAAACGAGTAGCCTCAGAACGTTGAAATTTTGTATGTAGGACTGCTATAACATGTAGATGTGCGTAGTCTCGTATTTTGGTTGCAATCGACCGCACTAAACGTATATAAATGTATGTATATATATATATATATATACTCTATTATATATATCCAGTCTGTTACTCGGCTCAGTGATCTCAGTTTCTTTACTCTTATATGTTTGTAAATTGTACATGTTTTTCTTTAAAAATGACTGAATTATGTTGTTTTTATATTCCGGTTAAGGATTTTATGCCTTTAGTAAATCTGTGTGCAATATTTTTAGAATTATCAGCAATTTTAAAGTTGTTTACCGTAATTTCCGGAAGAAAAGCCACATCAGCGTAAACGCCGCAATAGATTAAATTGCGTGTGACATCGTCGTGAGCCATATAGATGCAAAATCTCAACCTAAGTCCTGATATATTTACATGCATGCCAGTTAAGAAAAATGCACAAAATGAAACCGTAACTCAAAAATAAATTAAAGGTAAGAAATGTGGAAAGTATATTTAGCTTCACATATATACTTGTATTTACCCACTAAAGAAGTCCATATTTGTAATACTCAGACTATAGTCTGAAAAATGTAGCAATAAAAAATATTGCAACAACGAAATATTAACTTTGGATGAAAAAAGAAAATTTTAAATTTTACTTACAAAAGGAATTACAGCAAACTATACATCATATGAAGCCATCAAAATCTTATTCTTCACTATCTGAATTAAAAGGATTTAGTAAATCCTGATCTAAGGATTTAGTAAATCCTGATCTAAGTCTTCCAGATCGTCACATTCATCCTCTTGGTTTACAGTCTGTTTACCTAAGGATATAATTTCAGCTTCTTTGAACCCTGCTATTATTGACGACGTTTTACTGATTTCCACGCACTTCCTACCCACTTTGCAACTTCTTCATAAGATGCTCTACGCATTTTATCGCTTTTGGTATACGTATGCAATCCTTCACTCATCCAACACTCCCACCGCTTTCAGATTTCAGCTTTGAAGGATTTATTACCTGATAAATCTAACTGTTGTAAGATTTTTGTCAAACCATCAGGAATTATTGCTTCAGTCGTAGACAATTTTGACATCTGGTTTTCACTGACTCAAGTAAATGAGCACCCATGGAATCCATTATCAATAACCCTTTTGGTTGGAAAAAAGATCCCATACGACACTGCCAAACTTTTTGTATCCGCTCACGCATGATTGTTTCGAACATCCAGCCGTTCTCATTTGCACAAATAATTACGTCATTAGGAAAATCTCCCTTCGGAATAGTCTTTCGTTCAAAAATGATCATCGGCTTTAGCTTGTCACCGTTTGTGGCACATTCTAACACACATGTAAATGACATTATTTCATGTTCTGTCGTAAGTACAGATACAGTTTTTGCAACAGTTTCATCAACAGTTCTGTTTGCAGGAGAGTCAAAAGCTAACGGCGTTTCATCCATCTGTGACCGAAGAAGTTTTTTTTGTCAATAATATCTGTCACATATTTCAGAAAAGATGCCTTTTTATCCTGCCAGTCCATTGGTAATTGTTGCCCAACTGTTGTTCTAGTAGGCACAGAAATATTTTTTCTTTTCATAAATCTGCTACACCTCCTTTGAAATCATTTATATTCATTCGTTTTGCTATAAATTTTGCTCGTAAGTGAATTTTTACACTCGAAATTACCATTCCCTTTCCTCGTTGCTCCTTTTTCTAGTTTTCAAGGTCGTCCTCTAGATTCGGCCACCTTACAGTACCACTTCTTACGCTCGTTTCTGTTGTGGCATATTTTTAAGAAGTTCTTTTTCAGTCCTCCAACATCGAATACAACACTTGTCAACTTCAAACTCTCGAGCTGTTGCTTGATTTCCAATTTGCTCGGCACGTGAAATTACATTAAGCTTCAAACCAGCAGTATAGCTTCTGTGCCGTTTATGTGACATTTTCAAAAATTTTCCACTCTCTTCTTACTTAAAAACTATCCAACAAGTACCAAACTGATGGGATCTGTATCTGGCAGAATGCCAAGAAAAATCGATTCATGCTGAAGGGGAAATATGTCAGAGTTCGGTATTGCGAGGCAGGTGGAGTCGTATCCGCCTTTGAAAAAAATTGCAGAAAAGGCAGGGGTGGGGAGAGGATGGATACTGGAAAATTTATCGAAT